CCCCAAAACCCCAAAACCCCAAAACCCCAAAACCCCAAAACCCCTCCTATTTTCCTCAAAATTGAGCTAATTCAAGGCCAAATCTGTCTTCCTGGTCTAGCTTGGCTGCCTTGGCCACTAAGCCCTTTGGGCTTAGTGCTCTTCGCAGTCTCTAGGAGTGACCAGAGGGTCGTAAAGGCCTTGGCCGTTGTCGAGTTTTGGAGCAAGGAAGTTTGAGTGGATGAAAATGTTTGGCTTGAAGTAGCCAGGGCTTGGCACTTGGGGGATATTTTCTTCCTCATCATCGATGGAATAGGAATCATCTTCTTTTTCAATGAGACGATCATTTGTGGTAAAACTATAGATGCTTGAATATTTAGAAAGATGTCTGATCTCTTCTGGAGTTACTTTTTTCTCAACCTTCTCCTCTATTTCTTCATAAACTACTTCTATTTCTTCGTATTCTACTTTAGTTTCCTCCTTAGGTTCCTTTTTATTCCCCATTAGTTGTCCTTCTAGTCTTGAGCTTTTTGCTAATGACCGCTTAGAAACCGGTGTTTCAAATAGTAAGCGCTTTTGTGGGGAGTCTAGATATTTATATTTAGATTTGTTCTCTCAAAATTTGTCACTTAATTTATCATCTCTTGTTGAGATTGCTTCTTTTCTTCTTTCTATTTCTTCTAGAATATCCTTCCTTCCTTTCTTTACCCCATCATCATAATATTTTATACCATTTCTGACTCTTAAATCTTTATAGCGTTTGAGTGTCTTATTTAATCAACTTTCAGAGAAGTTTGCGGTAGTTTGAGAGTAATTATTCAATGAACAATTCATATCTACTGATGTATAACCTTTACTTTCCTCTATTTGAAAGGAATCTTCCTCATATTTGTCTTCCTCCCTTATATCTTCTTCTTGTTTGTCTTCTTCATGCTTAATTTCTTCATTTACTTCAAAATCTCTGTTGTCTGCTTTACTTTCTTCTCTCTCGTCACTTGTTTGCCTTGCATTATTTTGTTTATTTTTATGTCTTATGTATAAATAAATTCCGCCGCCAACTACTACTACTAGAAGGATTCCTCCGACCACTAGAGCGCTTGTAAGAGGATTGGCAGCTACTAGAGCAGCTCAGGATGTAGCTGCACCTACTACAAACTCTGCTGCTCCATCCAGTCCATCCAATATATCTGGTCCTGCCCATGAAATTAAACTAAATGATAAGCATCCTGTAGACCAGTATTTATTAATATAGCTAACCAAATCTCCAAGATTTCATCCATCTCAATTTTCCATCACAGCTAATAATCTTTCTATTTCTGCAATTTCCATATTTTCCAAAATTCTAGGTGGTATATCTAGCAATACACTATTCATTTTTAATAAAATATTTCAGCAAATTTTCCTAAAAAGGGGTTTTGGGGTTTTGGGGTTTTGGGGTTTTGGGG